TAAGTGTGTTTATATATTTTTTAGATTTTTTGGTTACAGTATGAATTATTTAAGAGAATCTTTGTTTTAAATTTTCAACTCTTAGATATAAAAACTGAACATTTTATAATTTTTTAATTCCAACGATTTATAATTTTCGAGATTTTGATAAATTTTGTCGAAATTCCAACTTTAAATGCTTATAAAAAAAAATCGTGCCTATGTATTTTTAATATTTTTCAACTGATATTGTAACAATATATCAGGAGCCTTGTATTAAATTTTTACACTTTTTGGCCCAACAGATAAAACTTTATTGATATTTATAGAAAAAAAAACTAAAAAAAATTGAAAGCTGTAAATGTCCATAAACAGCTCAAAAAGAGTCAAAATATTTTCAAAATTGTATGGTGTATAGGAAATGCTAATATAAACATTCAGTGAAATTTTCATGTATCTACAGTTATTCGTTTTTGAATTACAACAAAATAAGGAAATCGCTACATGAGAAATCGAGTGAAAATCCAATGTTGTAAAAATTTGAATTTCAAACGCTCATAAAAATTTAATTTGACTGTCCGGTAGAGATTTTTTTATTGATAAAGGTAGATAATCTTATAAGGAATCTTGTGTTTCATTTTCAAATCTTAGATTTAAAAAGAAAAATTTTTACGAATTCTTAACTCAAAATAATTTGCTAATTTTCGTGATTTTTCCATATTTTGTCAATTTTTGAACTTTAAATGCTTATAAAAAAAAATTGTGACTAAGGATTTTTAATATTTTTCATCTGCCTTTGAAACAACATATTAGGAGCCTTCTATTAAATTTTCAAGCTTTCGCAACCAACAAATAAAATTTTATTGATATTTCTAGAAAAAAAACTAAAAAAAAATGAAAAATGAAAATGTCCCTAAACAGTTCCAAATAAATCAAAATATTTTGAAAATGTTATCGTGTATAGAAAATGCAAATATAAACAACCAGTGAAAATTTCATGTATCTACGGTCATTTGTTTTAAAGTTACACCAAAAACCAAATTCGATTTTTTGGAAAATCGATTTTGCGTAAAAATTCCCGTTTTTCCTTAATTTTTATGTTGTTTTTCCCGGCGCTTGTGAAAACTACTGGAAAATGTTTACTTTTGACCCCCCAAAGTACCAACTAGATTCACTTTCCTATCAGAAAAGGTACTATTGAAGAAAATCGAAGCACTTTTACTGTCCCAAAACGTGATGACAGACACAAAAATATAAAAATATAAAAATATAAAAAAAAACATACATCATTGTAAAACCAATACATTCATCGCTCCGCTCAGAATCTAAAAATATAAAAATATAAAAATATAAAAAAAAGGTGGGCAAGTGGGTGTCGCTCTGCTGTACAGTAGGTTACAAGTGGGTCACTGTATAATGGATGGTATTAAATTTGAATTCAATGATATAATATCATTGTATAAGAAAACGATTCTGAGCGGTGACGGTATGTCAGTCTATGTATAAGGCATATTATATACATATCTATGGTATTAAACTAAAAATTGACCTATAATAGGTACCTATAATAAATTCCAAATTAATCATATCACAATATCCATTAGATACTTATAACGCGTTATACATCAACAAAAACCGTGATACTATCATAGATATATAATAGTACACTTTAGAAGTTTCAAGTACCCACGAATAGTATTATTCAATCACAACAAAATAACTAAAATCGTAATTCTTGGTTTAAATATGAAATTTTGTCTAAATTTGAAATTAAAATGTCTGTAAAAAATAAGTGTGTTTATATATTTTTTAGATTTTTTGGTTACAGTATGAATTATTTAAGAGAATCTTTGTTTTAAATTTTCAACTCTTAGTTATAAAAACTGAACATTTTATAATTTTTTAATTCCAACGATTGATAATTTTTGAGATTTTGATAAATTTTGTCAAAATTCCAACTATAAATGCTTATAAAAAAAAATCGTGCCTATGTATTTTTAATATTTTTCAACTGATATTGTAACAATATATCAGGAGCCTTGTATTAAATTTTTACACTTTTTGGCCCAACAGATAAAACTTTATTGATATTTATAGAAAAAAAAACTAAAAAAAATTGAAAGCTGTAAATGTCCATAAACAGCTCAAAAAGAGTCAAAATATTTTCAAAATTGTATGGTGTATAGGAAATGCTAATATAAACATTCAGTGAAATTTTCATGTATCTACAGTTATTCGTTTTTGAATTACAACAAAATAAGGAAATCGCTACATGAGAAATCGAGTGAAAATCCAATGTTGTAAAAATTTGAATTTCAAACGCTCATAAAAATTTAATTTGACTGTCCGGTAGAGATTTTTTTATTGATAAAGGTAGATAATCTTATAAGGAATCTTGTGTTTCATTTTCAAATCTTAGATTTAAAAAGAAAAATTTTTACGAATTCTTAACTCAAAATAATTTGCTAATTTTCGTGATTTTTCCATATTTTGTCAATTTTTGAACTTTAAATGCTTATAAAAAAAAATTGTGACTAAGGATTTTTAATATTTTTCATCTGCCTTTGAAACAACATATTAGGAGCCTTCTATTAAATTTTCAAGCTTTCGCAACCAACAAATAAAATGTTATTGATATTTTTAGAAAAAAAACTAAAAAAAAATGGAAAATGAAAATGTCCCTAAACAGTTCAAAATAAATCAAAATATTTTGAAAATGTTATCGTGTATAGAAAATGCAAATATTAACAACCAGTGAAAATTTCATGTATATACGTTCATTTGTTTTAGAGTTACATCAATAACCAAAATCGATTTTTTGGAAAACCAATTTTGCGTAAAAATTCCCGTTTTTCCTTAATTTTTATGTTGTTTTTTCCCGGCGCTTGTGAAAACTACTGGGAAATGTTTACTTTTGACCCCCCAAAGTACCAACTAGATTCACTTTCCTATCAGAAAAGGTACTATTGAAGAAAATCGAAGCACTTTTACTGTCCTAAAACGTGATGACAGACACAAAAATATAAAAATATAAAAATATAAAAATATAAAAAAAAACACACATCATTGTAAAACCAATACATTCATCGCTCCGCTCAGAATCTAAAATGAGCAAGGTGCTAAAAACAAGAAAACACCAAAAAAACTAAACAATTTTTCAAAATTAGTTTGAAGTTTATAAGATAACTATTATTGAATAATATTATAATATAAATAATATACCTAATCATAAAATAAAATATGCAAAATATTTTAAACATGTTTTTAGTTTTTTATGAGCACTAGAAAATAATACTCCACTCTACCAGACTACTATTAGAATTAGGAGTAGAATCATAATAGTTTTAATTTAATTTAAAGATTTTAAGAAATATGCAAATATCCAAAGAAGTGACTAAATTATACATAATATTTTTTTCTAATTGATGTCTACTCGATAAAAATATTGCCAATGAATAAAATGCAAATGTAATGTATAATTACAGGCTCCAAATTTATTATACCAACTCAATAAAAAAAAAAACTTTTTATGATTCAATGTTTTTGTAAATACTGACTTCAATTTTAAAAAATATTAGCATTTTAATTCTGAAGTTTTAAGACATTTTGCATTTAACAGAATGAATATACAGGCCTTCGTAGGACAAGAAGCGCGCTCTGTTGACTATAGAACTGTGGTAATATTTTCAATCAAGAGTGTATACGTCCAGAGTGACGACAACTTATCAATACACCTTGTATGTTTGATTTGAATTTTATCTGGTTATCATAATACAGTTCTTAACAGATAATGCTTGTAATCGTTGTATAATGCATGTTGATATAAAATTGAAAATAAATATATTTGTTTATTTTTTCCCTTCTTAAAAATTTTTTTTTAGAAAATTGCTCCTGTGAATTATATTATGTATAAACAAGAACGCACAAAAGTGCATCGGTTAGTAAGGTCATGGGAGGGGTTCAACCCCCCCCCCTTGAGTACGCCCCTGAATAAGTGCCAGTAATTTATTAAAGTCTCCATTACGTTCCTCCATGAGTGTTTCAACCGAAAATATGTACTTATATACATACATTATAATATGCCTCCCTTGTATGATTGGAACCGGCCAACATGTCAATTCTCAAATGGATGAATAGCAAAAAACATAGTTATTAAAAGAACAAAGGCTAAGCAACAAAACTATTTTAATGGTGTCTTTCCAGATGCTACACAGACAAACAAACATCACCAAGTGGAAAATAGCGATACTGATGAAGAGGTTGTCATAAAAAATAAAATAAAATAATTTTAAAACAAGATTAAAAGAATTTTTTATTTTAATTGTTAATGTTCATACATTATGACGTATAATATAATGTTATTATTATTTATTATTATTATTATTAAATTATTATTTTTTTTTATGTGCGAGCGAGGTTAAAGAAAACAAAATCATTTTAAAATTAGATTAAAAGAATTTGTTATTTTAATTGTTAATGTGCATACATTATGACGTATAATATAATATTATTATATTTTTTTTTTTATGTAATACAAACAGTATACTGTGCAGTTCTAATATTTCTTTAGCGCAAGCTCTGGTTTAATGCTACTAAGGAGCATGGGCGTCGTATACCTGCTAAGCAACTGTCAACTGTGGTGGCGTCGTGGTGCGGAAATCTTCGATCCCCACTCATCAACTCGAACTTTAACCCGGCTGTGTCACAGCTTATAATATTGTTATAATTATACCGTACTTATCATAATAATATTTTTACTGGTGAGCCTTGTATTCAGGTGCGGATCCAGCCAGCGATTATGGGGGGGGGGGCGAATATTTTACATATGAAATAAAATATCTAATAAAATATAATATGTGGGCAAGCGCACATATTTGTGTTCAAAAATAACTTACACGAAACAGTTATGTTAAATACAACTTTTTAATCAATTGATAAATTCCAAATAGTGAAATAAAAACTAAAACATCAGTCATGAATATAAAAATTAAAAAGATAAAAAACGTACATAGTCATTAAATTTAAATTACAAAATCTAGTCTTCTATTAGATTTTGCAAATACATCAATCACATCCTCAGAGTTTATTGTTATATCACGATGAGCATGTAGTAAAGCCAGTCCATTCAATCGATCTTCCGAAATTCTTGTTCTCATCCATGTTTTTATCCGCCTCAGAGATGAAAAATTGCGTTCTGCTGATGCAGTGGTCGCTGGTAATGTCACAAGTATATTTAATAGAATATTGATTTCAGGAAAACAATCGTAGTCACAACGTTTTAAAGCATCAATATGAGTCACAGGTAGTTGCTTTTCGTTGAGCCAATATTCGTGCCAAAGGGTTAATTCTCCACTTATGCGTTTTTCAAATATATCATGAGATACATTTAAATAATTTGATACTACATCACCAAATTGATTAACCACGTTTAAAATCTTATTTTCTATTTTAGTCTTATCGTTAAAAATATATTTTTTCTCAATTCTATTTGGTAGGACTACATCAAGATCGTATACTGATATTGAAACTTCGTCAAATCTTGATTCTAAATCAGCTGATAATTCATCCAAAAAATGAATAAAAAGGACAATTTTAAAGTATTTTTCAGGTATTAAATCAAGTCGTATATGGACGAGACTGTAAAAATTATGAGATAATACGAAAAAATATCTAAGAAACAATCTCGAGTCACGACGCGATGATGTTTTGTCCATTACTGATAGCTATTTGCCGCACCGCCCGCACCGTGGTAATGCTGTGGCGTTGTCGCTTATCGCTAATTCCAAGAATAGCTCTGAACGTATTACGTCAACGGTGAACATACCTAATTCTTATTATTATTATTTAGTATTTGAAATAAAACTATGTATACTATAACTTTACAAGATTACAACTGTATATTATAAGAATAATATATTATATATAAATATAATATATTTATGTATACAATGATTGTCGTGGTCGCCGTCATCGACATTTTCTGGGAAAAATAACCATTACTTTGTTAAAAATGAACGAAAATAAAATCCGAATACACCGTTGAAAAGAAGACATTTCACTGAATAACCACGTATATAAACGGAAGAATTGCTCAGATAACCGAGTAAATTATAAGGCCAAAAAGAAGCCTATACAAATTGACAATTGTCTACAACCCGTCGACCACGGTACTCAACGTATTAAAATTAGTTTTGATTCTTTTTATTGGGCATTTTTCCTAAACAAAACACAGCTTACGGGGGGGCGCCCCCTCCGCGCCCCCTTACTGAATCCCCGCCTGCTTGTATTATTATTATTACTGTATTACTGCACTATTATTTTATCACTGTATTACGTTTCATTTTATCCGTGGGAGTTCACCCACCACTCTTTTTTTTAAGATTTTACCAGCTTTAACATGTTAGAGTTGGCCAAAATATTTTTACATATACAATTTTTTTAATATTTATGATAAAAAATTGGTTTGTATTTACATTTATGTTAATTAATTTAAAGTTTGTTTGTCAGACCTTAGATCACATTTTGAGATTAACTTGATACCTATAATAAGTTTGTTATTCATTGAGAATTTCTTTTATGTTGCGTGAGAGACTCAGGATTGTGCTTTTTTTATTTGTATAGAGGGCATTCCTCAAATAAATGTTTTATTGTGATTTTTGATCATGAAGACTAGAATAAGGAGACCAAACTCCGCTTCTGATAACGTCCCGAAATGAGTTGCAAGATCAAACTTCCACAGGCTGCACTGCGTACGCTAGGGTTGCTACTTTAACCCTCGTAGTATAGGGATTATTCATGTTTTTTGCAGTTCTTAGAAAATATATAAAATATTTTGAACCATGACCCTCTTTAGATTTTATAGCTTGTACGATTACGCCTTTATACATATACATAAGTGTATATTTCATAAACATGTTACTCAAGAAACCAATTTGAGTGTAACTATGCATATTATATCGGTATAAAACAATCGTTCAAGAAAACACATATAATATTATGTATGGTGTATCGTATAGTATCGGGCTCAGGCCTCAGACTTGCTGTGAACAAAGATATATATCGTCGGCCTAATTCGCAAAAGTCGTATCCCCATTTTTTGTCATTTTGGGATTATTTACTCATAAAATAAAGAAAAAAAAACTGCTTCTGTTGATACAATCAAATTTCCGATTTCATAATATTATCCTCCATGAAATTGATAATTAGAAATCGTCATTACTCCAATTAATAATATGGCCGTAAAACGTTTTTTTCTTCTCCTGAACAATTTGTAATTTTGGACATACGACCTTTGCGAATTAGGCCGACGATATAAAATGTTTCACATCCTCCCCAAATTGCGCATATGGTAAGGGTTGAAAAAATAAGCTTTAAGTCTCTAGGAATCTATAGATATAGGTAACTTCAATTAAATTTATGAAACGATTCAGAAGTTTTTGAGTCTATATAAACTCTTCGGTAATAACAATTACCAATATACCAACATCCATTTTTGGCTGTACAAGTGTGTATACTTCACCAGAATAATTATTGTTTCATTGATATGATGTTTTATTATAATAATATATAGTTAAACAGAAATACATAAACAAGCACACAAGTTGGCACTGCTTAGTTTCCATTATGAATGACACCTCTTTATTTAATTATTTAATGTTATATGTGTACAATATTTTGTGATTACGTCGCTAAGAAAAACACAAATGCATTACAATAACTGAGTAATCTTAAACCTATAAAGAAAACAAAATACACACACTATACCTATAAAATATACATATTAGGTAGGTACACATAATTAATGAATAATCAATAGATAATTTAAAAAATGTATTAATGATACAATACTACTTATTTAGTAACAATTAAATAAATATGAAATAACTATGATAAATATAAAATAAAATAATAAAATATAAAATATTATGTAATTAAAAACTGTTAATAGGTATGCTTTAAAATTACATATCCAAGCGTTCATGTGATTTAATTATTCTACCAATTCTACTGATACTGGTTTATATTTAAACATAATGAATACAAACAGAACATATTTTTATTGCTACCTTCTGACACATTGTTTTGTTCAATTAATTGACAATTTCAACACAATCATACTAATAACCTTTCAAAATCTCAGCTTCAACAATAAAAACAACAGAAAATCGTATAATTAATTAAATTGGAATGCTGAGAGAATGTGGCCTCCATGACAAAATAGATCTATTTTGTCATGGTGGCCTCTATGATTTTTATATTTTGAAACCATAATCGAAACTCTTATAAATAATGTAATGTAATTATTACGCTGTTACATTATATTAAAAAATTGTATTTTTAAAAATACCTAGTTTTGAAACTAATTCATCGTGGAACGATATTAATAAATCGTTTAAATATTATTCAAAATCATGTTGTATAATTACATAAATATTTGAAGACAGGATAGAAACTCATGGAATAACTGTTTGCTGATTACCACTGTCAAAAAATTCAAATACAAATTGCAGATGACCTATTACGGTCATTGGAAAAAACCCATTCTCAAAGAAAAGAGTCGGATTTCCGTCGAGACTACAATGTTCATGAAAATACTTAACAAACACAGAAATCCCAAGGAAAACGACTCCAACACTTTAGTAACTATATCAAAGATATCAACAATAAAGGACTATCAAAGCATCAAATGGAACGCAAAACCATTAACAGTTCAATGCAGACCATTTTAAACTTGCACGATGAAAGCATGTTGAATGAAGTGTTAACATCAACAAAAATCTAAAAAATGTAATAAACACGAATACCAACCGCACGATGCGTTCATGTTGGTTTAGCGAGTTCTTCAGGAACAAAGAAACAGGCGAAAAACCGTTTAATCTTAGAGTTGTCACAACCCCTGAGTACACCAGTAAATTATCATAACCACGAATAGGTATGAAAATATAATATCAAAAAATATTTATAATATACCTAGAATCAGCAAAACTATTATCATATTTAATCACAGAAATTAAATTTATCGTGTAAAAAAAAACGAAGGAGATATTATTACGTTAGACTGGCTTAGATCACTGATTGATATAAATGTGCCTTATTAATTATGAGCAAATTCAAATATGAACACAATCAATTAATATACAAAATACAAATATCGGCCCCCACAAATAATTTAGATAATTTAAACAAAGTACAAACTTTTTGTTTAGAAAAGATTCCTTGAAGGCACTGAAAGAAATATTTCTTCAGATGTCGTGCGTCGCCCCAAAAAAATAATTACCTACTCACCATATAATATTGATTGATGAACAATGAGCATTGTAAAACATTAATCGGTCTTTAAAAAGACCTAATATCCAAATAATAAAAAAATATACTAAATAATAACAAATGACCAGGAAAAGACTTGGGAGCCAGAAGAAAACCTAGATAATCAGGACTCCAATGAGCGGTTTGAAGACTATGTTGAACTCTTAGAACATTAACACCACAAGATCAAATTCAAACCTGTGATAATTTTATCATCATAAATGAAATCGAAAATTTGCGATGGACAGTCAATGAATGCACACCTGCCAACGTGGAAACTTAAAGATACAAAGTATACAGAAAAATACGATCAAATCAGATCTAGAAAAAGTGGAAAATCTATTTCAAACTTTCTTTCCTATAAACATCATAGTAAAATGCTTACTATGGGTGTTGTTTTACAAGATAAATCTTTAAATAGATACTACTAAACAGTTCGATGATTGGTACTAGAACTGAGTATCCACAACTCACGATAAAGTTGTCCATATTTTTATATTAGCAATAACTTATAAATTTTAGCAGAACATTTTTTAGTAACCCATCAAAAGCACCTAAGCCCCTATTGATTAATAACAAATCACTGCCCCCTCTGTTTTAAAATAAAATGAAAATTATATTAAACCAAAAAACACAAACCATTCTATAATAACATTCTTTCTTAATTTATAATTATAACTAATAATAGTAATGATATTGTTAAAAAATGTTATCATATTGGGTACCGACTTATTAGCTTAATAACTTACTTAATCTCCTTCTTCTTCTTTTGGTTTACGGAATTTGAGATTAAACTGACAAATAATTATGATATTCTGCATTATGTTTACTTCTTTATATCAGGTCGCTGAATGGAAATGTTTCTATTGTTTTCAATTAAATGAGGCTTGGGTTCTTTTAATGGATTATTACCATTTATTGACAAAGATTTTAAAAATATCCATGATAATACAAATATATGGACAATTTTCTTGTGAGTTGTAGATAATCAGTTCTAGTATCATCGAACTGTATTTCTCTTGTAATATAACACCCATAGAATGCATTTCATTATAATGTTTATGACATTATGTGAATTATACAGCCTAAATGTTTTTTATACTTTAGGAAAGAAAGTTTGAAATTGATTTTATATCAATTTATTTTAATTTGATTTTAATAAATTATGAAAATAATTCGTTACATTGACATATTATAATTACGTGCGGGTGCCAGTGCGCTAGCTCTGCTCTATTTATTTTAAACCACGATTTAAGGTAGTACTATATCCTAACATTCTTAACTATCTTTACTATCTTAAATCGTGTTTTATACACAGTCACTCACACTCTCACACTAATGATCACTTACTAGCTAGTATACATATTTTACATGAGCCTTGTAACATTACGTAGAAAATTGCCTATATTAAACTCCTTAAAAACGGCCAGGAATGAATCCCTTTCAGGGGCCACACCCCCAAGTCTTTTTTTGTCAAAAACTACTATTTCTATTTTCAACGATACGTGTCAGCAATTATCACGATTTTCATTCTAAAAAAATATTCGGATCATCAGTAATATACACAAGGGTACGATCGAGCCACATTTTTAATTTTTATTATTTAAATTGCATTAAAGATTGTATTATTGAAAAATTATTCAAAAAAATTCAGAATTTCTATCTAAACTATATAATTAACTAAAAACAATTTTAAAAAGGTGCTCTGCTGTACAGTAGGTTACAAGTAGGTCACTGTATGATGGATGGTATTAAATTTTAATTTAATGATATAATATCATTGTATAAGAAAAAAGATTCTGAGCGGAAACGGTTAGTCAGTCTATGATATTACAAAGTGTATTTTATGATACTAAGGGGAATAAAGTAATTTTTATATAACCTATGTACGTGGAATCTTGTATTAAATTTTCAATCCTTAGCTATAAAAGTTGAAAACAAATAGTTTTATTGACATTCATATAAAAACAACGGTCAGTCTGCCTATGATATGACAAAGTATATTTATTATTTGATGATATTATTGTGAATAAATAATTTATATATTAACCTATTTACGTAGACCCTTGTTTCAAATTTTCAATCTTTAGCTATAAAAGTTAAACATTTTATAAATTTTTAACTACAAAATAATTATTACATTTTAAATTTGACAAATTTTGTTAAGATTCGAACTGTAAATGCTTATAAAAAAAAATTGACTATTTAATAAACTAATAAATTTAATAGTTTTCATTTGCTATTGTAATTTGTAACAATATATCAGGAGCTATGCTTGGCATGCTTGGAGGCATGTTTTTTTACTCAACAAATAAAATTTAATTGTTATTTTTAGAAAAAAAAACTAAAAAAAAATTTAAACTGAAAATGTCCGTAAAGAGCTCAAAGTAAGTCAAAATGTTATGGTGTATAGAAAATGCTAATATAAACTTTCAGTCAATATTTCATGTACCTACTGTCATTCGTTAAAGAGTTGCACCAAAAACCAAAAGCGATTTTTTCGAAAAACGATTTTCGAACTATTACGTATTCTGAACACCTTAATTCTCATTTATTCGAATATGTTTTCCGAATACAAAATAAAATTATTCTTTACAAGACTGATAATTGGTTAATTGAAATACTAATTAATTTTTGGTATAGTCATTTCGTATTTCACCTTATCAGTAGTCGATGTGCATTGTGCAAGCACAGAATAACCAGAAGGTGCACTTTTTTTGATTTACACGGGTTCTTATGGGGGATAGATTTGCAACACCTGTGAGATATCAGTGTAGCCGGTATAGAGATAATAAAAAATTGTACAACCACAGAATAATCTGTAGCCCGTATTAAACTTATTGATACAATAAATATTGTATATCATTTTATTGTATATTAATAATTAACAATTTTTTCAGTTAAATTAAAAAAAAAAGTTGAACTTTAAGTTAAGCTAAAAAAAGTTGAACTTTAACTTTTAAGTAGTAAAACACATTAACTGTTAATAGTCACATAAATATAATTTATTTTGTCATAGTAAATCATTAATTACAAAATGTGTATGTCGAAGGTTCACAATGTTAATTAAAATTTTTTTTAATACATAATACTAAAAATACAATATCTTGTAATAATCTCTTACAATATCTAATAATTATTTACAAATGTTTCAAAATAGATAGTTTTCTATTTTTTCGTTTTGTTTCAGACATCATAGACCTATTTAAAAATCTAATTGCAGTCGTTCCTGAAGTACTCGTTTCCTTGGAGTTTTGGCAGATAATGAGTTCGGAGTTTGAATACTTATGGAAAACGATTCTACTGATGTACAACTCGAAACTGATGTAGTATTAAGAGTAGATGACACTAAAAATAAAATTATAGTGGATTAAAATAATAAGTTAATAAAGGAACTAAAAGTTATCATATCTAGCAATAAAATCTATATATAATCAACATACCAGGAGTTGAACATTTAGGCGGGTTGTCAATTATAACATTTTCAGTTTGGATGTTATCTTCCAAAAATTCAGATGGAACATCAACATGATCTGATGTTTCTTCTGTAACGACACAATCATCTAAAAGAACAAAATATTGTTTTACAATACAAATAAAGATTTATTTACCCCTTATTTAATTGACTTACTTTTAAATAATGTTGGTATTGCTGTATTAAATAATCTGGTTTTTTCAACATTTACGTACATTTCATTTTCAAAATGAAGTGAACACAATCTGTGGTTCCTATTCAGAATATCAGGGTCAATAGTTGGTAAATTAATTGGTTTACACTTTTCAATCCAGACAGCACATCTATAATAATTAAAACTATTAGTAGAGGGTACCAAAACAATTATTTGTAATGCATGATAGAAAATAAACATCAATGAATTTGATGGACATACAAATACAATGAAGTTACAAGAAATAGGTTGGTACATTTTTGGTATTTCTTACCTTGCTTGATCCTTTGGAAATCTATGAAAGCTCGTTTCAATTTGTTTTTTTCCAAAGACAATACTGCTGCAATTCGCCAAACAACAGGAATGGCCACCCGAATACATTGCAGTTTTACAATTAGTAGTAGTTTACAATTAAAAAAACTAAAAATGTTAAAAACAACTCGGAACAAAAAACAAATTGAGCAATGTGAAACGGAAATTTCAAACACAGATTCAACGAACAAACATGAAACAATTAATAACAATCAACAATGTCATATATCAATAACTTATCACTGAAAAATAAAATATTTACAATGATAACATTAAAAATGCGCCCACTCAGTTTCAGCAGCAAAAGAGAATTTGTAATTATTTTCGAAACCTGGCAACACTGATATCTCAAACATTTTTCACGGATTTTCGAGTTCTCATTAAGTGCACCTTCTGGTTATTCTGTGGTGCAAGTCTATGACCTGTATATCTTAGTCCGTGGTAACAACACAGGAATCAGCCGTATTTTGACGATAACAATTATTGATAACAATTAAAATTGTATTTACAATTTCGTATTAATTTACTTTTTCACTACGATAGTTCGATCAGTTCGATCACTGTAGTAACAGATACTATTTGGTAGTAGATGATCGTAGAATTGTAGTGTAGTCTCTAACTAGTCTAACTGTCCTTGTAACTTATTAGACAAATATTGGACGGACTGTCTCGACAACAAGTCTGCAGGTGCACTTTTTATAAACTTAGCAGACTTGATAACTTAAAAAACGTATCATTATTACTATATAAAACGTAAAATGAACACAGATCATAATGAAAATGTTGCACAGGTGGCATATCAATTTATTTAAAATATATTAAGCTGATTTTTTTTATATAATAATTAATTGTGTAATTTATATTATCAGAAAGAAAATGATGATCATGAAAAAAACAATGAAAATGTACAACCGGTTCAAAAAAAAATAAATGAATTTAAATCACACTATTTGCAACATTTTCAATCAATTTGTTGTCTAGGAAAAGGAGGTTTTGGGGTTGTATTTAAGGCTCGAAATAAATTAGATGACGGCAAATATGCTATTAAAAGGATACCTTTTCCATCACGGTAAGATGATAGTATTTGATTAGAGAGCTGATTTTATATTAGGTATTGGGTTTTTTTTTTCAGTTATGTTTATAATATAATAATTATTATTATAATAATTCATAAAAGTTAAAAGTTAATGACAACAATTTTTTTTTAGATATTTTGACAAAATTTAAAGTTTGTTGTATATTGAAGTAAAATTAAATTATTTACCTAGTGTTTCAAAAGTCCAATAAAAGTGTAAAATATTATTATGTCTAGTATTAAAGATTATTGACAATGGTGGTTTTACGGTAAATTAATATACATTTTATCATTTAATAATAGAAGTACAAAAGTATTTGTTTTGCACTAAGTACCTGTCTAATTTTAATTAATTTTTTTACTTAATAAATTATTAATTATCAAAAACACAATTTAATGGTATACCTACATTTATTTACTATTAGGTACCTCATTTTAATTTTAATATGTTTGCATATTTTCACGATTTTTACTGCATAATAAATAGCGTAATATTGTAATTTTTAATTCTTAAAAATATGTGCTATAATAATTAAAGACCTATATTCTAAACTAAAGAAGAGCGCACCGGTCAGTGACCTGTTTCCATCCGGGGTCACACATCTTCCATGTGAGGGCATAGGTGGTGACCGGTGAAAAAGGAAACAACTGTGGAACCGGTGCACTTTTATTTGGTACTGAGTAAGGTACTCAGTAGCTTATCAAATTCAACTTATTGGATAAAATAATAAATATGTACTTAATAATGTATGTGCATAAATTTGTTTTATTATTTTATTTATTTATAATAGACAAGAATCTAGAGACCGTGTATTACGTGAAGTTAAAGCATTAGCAAAGTTAAAACATAAAAACATTGTAAAATATTTCAATGCTTGGTTAGAAGAACCTCCTAGAAGTTGGCAAGAAGAAATGGATAATCAGTGGATGCCAAACTCTGAGTAAATAAAATTAAAATTATTGTTTATAATTTTTAACTATGTAGTGTAAAATAAAAGTATGTTCAGCCAAAAACAATTTATCTTACAATTATTTTGTAATATTTTAGTAATGAATCCCACTAATCAATTAGTATATCAGTTGAATCTAATCTGTAATACTTATTACTGCCGGTAACATTTCATATACTCAACACTTTATATTCAAACATAGTTAATCTCATGCCATTTAAATATTGTCAATAGTACTCCTTGATTGATACCCCTTGTGACATTTATGTGCATACAGGTCCAGTAGTCCAAGCAAGGGTAGCCTAGAGTCTGCATTTAATTAATAACTAACTATTTTAATGATCACCACCTGCACATTCTTAATGTAGCATTGGCAGTTGGAAATGGAAAACACAACATTTCTTATATCAAATAAATGAATCATAGTGTAATACTATTGGCACATATGTAAATGCATGCTTCTTTGCTATTTTGACCATTCAAAAAAAAATTTGAATTTTATAAAATATGAGTTTATACATTAAATATAAATATATAATAGTATGACATCTATATTTTAGATTAATATATCCATATAATCATCTACTTATATTACAATATTGTGTCTGTTTTTTAGTTGTATGGACACAAGCAGCAATATAACAACTAGTCCAACAGATACAACTGACTCTCATAGTGAACAAAAAGCAACTAAACAATACTTGTACATACAAATGGAGCTTTGTCAGAAATATAGTTTAAGTGAAAGACTGAAGAATGATACTCTTCATAGAGAAATGATAAATATTTTAAATATTTTTTGCCAAATTATAGAAGGTGTTGAATATATTCATTCACAAAATTTCATACATAGGGATTTAAAGGTATAAATAATTTTTTGTTTTATTTATTTGCCTTACGAATCATTTTACTCAACCTATCCATCCAGTGGCACACACTCAAAAATAAATAGGGGTAGCAATTTGAATCGGTTTCCTCTATATTGGCTAATGGCTATAGCCTATAATTATTCAATAGTTTATTTTCAATATTTTTATACATAGTAGAATTTTTATGATGTAAATATTTTGGAGCTAGGGAGTCCACCCACCCACCTACCGAAAAAATCAGGGGTAGCAGCTGCTACCCTTGAACCCTCCAGTGTTCGCCACTGTATCCATCCTATACTATTTAAGATTTTTCTATTTTTCTATTCATCTATATTAAAATGTTTCTTGTTAATCTATGAGACATATTATTTTAGATGTTTTTTTATTAACTATATTTCTGAAATGATTAAAATATCTTGTTTTTATTATAAATCCAAAACTTCTATAGGTATAATCATTATGTGATTATTAATTAAGTACCTAGTTAATTATAATTTATTTTATTTTAGCCTTCAAATATATTATTTATATCAGATGACCAAATTAAAATTGGCGATTTTGGTTCAGTTACAAAAATGATAACATCAGATATATGGAATGAATATGATGATAAAAAATGTTTAAATAAACAACATACTAATCAAGTTGGCACACAATTGTATATGAGTCCAGAACAGGTAAATAATGTAAAAATAATTTAGGAATAACTTAATTATTTTTTAACAAATATTACAGATACATGAAAAACCGTACAATTCTAAAGTAGATATATATTCTCTTGGAGTTATATTTTTTGAATTGCTCAATTCATTTAATACTGAAATGGAAAGAGTCAAAACGTTACAGCAAGTTAGAAATGGTACTTTTCCTCCTCAATTTTTAAAATTGTATGAACTGAAAACTGAAGTAAGTAAATACCTTAGAAATTAAGTAAAAATGATTTATACACTAAAAATATTTCATTATTTTTGTTTTTAGAAAGACATGGTATGCTCAATGTTATCGCAAGATCCAAAAAAACGCCCAACTGCATCTAACATTAAAAATATGATCTTAGTGTATTTGGATCGGTTCAACCTTCTCATGCCAGACTCATGTCCTTTCTAAACTATATATTATATTCAGAGGATGGTCTAACAATCAAACTATCAGAATAATTCAGAAACCAGAATCAACAAAATAATGGAATTTCAACAAAACACATAATATATGATTATCTCGACTTAATCTTTAAATACTTATTTTTGCTTATGTTTAAATGCAGTTATGTAAGGGCGACACTATGTAAATACCTACTGCCCTAATGTATACACCAAATAATAATTGTTCAATTTATACAGTGCCAAAAACTACTTTTTTTTTTATTGTAAAAATATAAATAAAAAGATTTACATATTATTAAAATGTTTACAATAAAGTATCTACCTCCTTTAAGCGTAATGCTTGTGATGATGGTAGAGAGTTACATTACATAATATAATGAACAAAATTACATAAAAATAAATCTAATTTCAAATTAACATAAATAAAATATAGAGTAACATAATAAATTTCATAAGTAACATTCAAAATATTTTAAAACTTATTCCATATTTTAATTATTATAATATTAAAAAAATGTATTTATTTATTTATTTTTGAGTTTTTTTTTTTTTTTAAACTATTAGTGAAAATAACCACGAGTTAAGTTGTTCTTTAATGCACGTAATACTAAGATTCCCAATTGAGTAGTAAATGAGTTTTTTATATGTAAAGGCATTTAATTATAATAATTAGGACCTAAATAATCGACGAATTTTTGACCAAAAGATTTTTTGCAATAAAATACTCTGACATCAAAAGCCATCAGTTCCATTTTTTTTCTTATCTTTTCCACAACAAAAAAATGTTCATAATTTTTTATTATATATATAGAATATACCTTTTTATATACACTCTCGACTAGTAACACATTCAACAGCTTAAAGTTTTCACCAGTTGAACTTGAACCTACTAAATTATTTCTACCTAAACAGATTCTGACAATTTTTCTTTGGAATAAAATTAGTGGTCTAACCTGTTTTCATTCAAACCTCCCCATACCAACAAACCTTACTAAAATACTGCCTGGAATAATGATAAATAAATTATACGCATAACTTTCACAGGCAGGAAATTCCTTAATTTAAAAAAAACTAAACGATAATGTACGCATGTGCATTACAATATGCTGTCATTACAATTATCTACATTCCCACAAAAACAGAGTTTTAAATCATCATGATTGTTCTCATCTATGTTGATTGAAAAATTTATAAAATTAGTTTTTTTATAATTTATTGAGTTTCCTATGGTTTAGGTGATTAATCACTTTTTTAAATTCTTTAGCTGCTTTTAAACTTTAGTAGGTGATAATAATTATTTATTACACTACTATGGATTTTATAATTTTCTATGTTTTAAATTTAACAATATTGTAGCGTGCCATGACTTAACTGACTAATATTATATTATAATAAATTACTAGAGATATTGAGTTATTCACAAAGGATCATTGTTAGGGGGGATGTAAAGAATTATTAAAAATAATAGAAATGACATGGGACCCCAACTACGTACTCGATTACCCTAAATAAACATATTATATAACATAAAATATACATTGTACATAATAACTTTAATTATACTATTAACAATGGATAAATTTAATAATTATTATTATTATTATTATATTAACATAATAATTAAAATTGTAATCAAAAGGGGAATCTAAAAAAAAAATCTTATATTGTATACTTATACTAACATAATTAATACTGTAATAATTCCAGATAAATAAATATTATTCATATTATTACCTAAGTATAATATACTTAATTATTATTATTATTGTTTATTAAACACCAAAAAGAAAAATTTTACATAGTAAGTTTACAAATATGGTTAGGTTAGGTTATATAGTTACATAATTACATAGTTAAATACAGAAATAATTTAGATAGCAATAATTCAGAGTAGGTATACAATATAACTATATAGTTTGTAGTATTTTAGTAAAACTAAAAGTAGAAATAGTGGCCTAAGGACTATTGATGGTTTGCATCTCTGAGCATGCGATGTAGAGTATGATTGTGTTCATAAGAGGTCTTGTGAGTTGGAACATAAAATTGGGATTGGTTACTGGAAGGATGAGAAAGAATTACGACCATTAAGGCTGTAACTGAAAATAATTTTCAGGGAATCCAACATTTTTTTAATATTAATACTGAACACATCATTTTTGAACACAAATCATTATTTCGTTCAAAATATAAAAACTTTTCTCATTATTTTTCTGCTTTAACAAAAATACAAAATTATTTTTAGTACAACAAACAATATTATCTGCTAAAACTTTTCTACTTATAAAAAATTTTGGGGGAGTCCAGACACCTGCACTCCACCACCAGTTATAGCTTTGACCACAATTAAAGATATGATATCATGATAATATTATAGATTATATTACTTTAATCGTGGTTACGCAATATGACTAAAAATACCCAGATAGTCTGGTGTTTAAAGTTTTCCATGTGTCATAGCATCTGACAGAAAATCCAACTGTCTTAAATGTTTACCTATTAGTCATTACAGTATAATCATTAATTCTATATTACGATTTACTTTAATTATTTAATTACTTTAATTCAAATGTATTAAAAAGAACGAACCCATTTTATAGTTTATAACAATACATGAAATCTACTTCTTGGTTTTTTAAAAAAAAAATGTACATAGGGTTCGTAGGTAACTCTATTGTAAGAAGTCGACACATTATTCCCACATGGGATGTCTCCGTTTTACTACAAAATAAGTGAATAACATAAATCGTAATATATTTCTATAAATAATTTTTTGTTGTCCAAAAACCTTGAAAATTCAATACAGGATCTTCATAAATTTTTATAATAGCAGTTAACAAATATTGAAGATATATAGGCGATTTTTTTTTTTTCAAGCATTTAAAGTTAATATTTTGATAATATTTATCAAGTATTATTTATAAAAAACAAAAACTTTCTAACAACAGCGTAAAGAATCAGTGAAGGAAAAGGATGAAATAGATGATTAACCAACAGAAAACTCCATTCACATTGATACAACCAACCCTAGAGAGAATGAGTAGAAGAGCTATAGAATGTTCTTACAACAGCATAGACAACCAGTAGATGAAATGGAGGAAATAGATAATAATATACCGATAATAGCACCTATCGTTCCTACAGTACCCCTGGAACCAGAGGAAATCAATGAAACAAACATGTTCTCTAAAGTACCATATTGATCCAATTTGCTAAAATGATAAGATACTATTTGCTTAAATCAAAGCACTCCGTCTAGTAGAAAGAAGTACACAGGATTAAAAAAATAAAAAATAAAAAAAAACACAATCGTAAAACCACTAGCCGCTATGCATTACTCTACTTCAATCATAAAATGATAAAAACCAAGTCATTAAGTAAAAACCTCAAAGATATTACATGAATCGCAGTTGAGTTTAGAAAATAGAAAATCAATAGCTCAAGAGATAATTTGTTGTCCAAAATTATCATATGATATTGAAAGAGAGATAAATAACTGCCAAGTTTGGGAAAAATATAAGAGGTCTAATATTAAACAACCACTTTTGTGTCATGAAGTGATTAATATTGGGCTCAATAAATTTGTATTAGATATTGCTGAATACAATAATAAATATTATTTCATTCTAGTAGACTACATGTCGAGGAGATTGGAAGTTTTATTTAGACCAAACAAAAACTTGCTAACAACAGCGTAGGGAACCAGTGGAGGATTTGGTTAATAGACACTTTACCAACAGAAAACACCTCTCACATTGATACAACCAACCCTAGAGAGAATGAGTAGAAGAGCTATAGAATGTTCTTACAACAGCATAGACAACCAGTAGATGAAATGGAGGAAATAGATAATAATATACCGATAATGGCACCTATCGTTCCTACAGTACCCCTGGAACCAGAGGAAATCAATGAAACAAACATGTTCTCTAAAGTACCATATTGATCCAATTTGCTAAAAAGATAAGATACTATTTGCTTAAATCCAAGCACTCCGTCTAGTAGAAAAGAAGTACACAGGATTAAAAAAAATAAACACAATCGTAAAACCACTAGCCGCTATGCATTAATCTACTTCAATCATAAAATGATAATAACCAAGTCATTAAGTAAAAACCTCAAAGATATTACATGAATCGCAGTTGAGTTTAGAAAATAGAAAATCAATAGCTCAAGAGATAATTTGTTGTCCAAAATTATCATATGATATTGAAAGTGAGATAAATAACTGCCAAGTTTGGGAAAAATATAAGAGGTCTAATATTAAACAACTACTTTTGTGTCACAAAGTGATTAATATTGGGCTCAATAAATTTGTATTAGATATTGCTGAATACAATAATAAATATTATTTCATTCTAGTAGACTACATGTCAAGGTGATTGGAAGTTTTATTTAGACCAAACAAAAACTTTCTAACAACAGCGTAGGGAACCAGTGGAGGATTTGGTTAATAGACACTTTACCAACAGAAAACACCTCTCACATTGATACAACCAACCCTAGAGAGAATGAGTAGAAGAGCTATAGAATGTTCTTACAACAGCATAGACAACCAGTAGATGAAATGGAGGAAATAGATAATAATATACCGATAATGGCACCTATCGTTCCTACAGTACCCCTGGAACCAGAGGAAATCAATGAAACAAACATGTTCTCTAAAGTACCATATTGATCCAATTTGCTAAAAAGATAAGATACTATTGCTTAAATCCAAGCACTCCGTCTAGTAGAAAAGAAGTACACAGGATTAAAAAAAATAAACACAATCGTAAAACCACTAGCCGCTATGCATTACTCTACTTCAATCATAAAATGATAATAACCAAGTCATTAAGTAAAAACCTCAAAGATATTACATGAATCGCAGTTGAGTTTAGAAAATAGAAAAGCAATAACTCAAGAGATAATTTGTTGTCCAAAATTATCATATGATATTGAAAGAGAGATAAATAACTGCCAAGTTTGGGAAAAATATAAGAGGTCTAATATTAAACAACCACT